TAGGGAGTAATGAGAATTGCAAACTTTCTGTTAATTATGGTGTACTCATCAGATAACAACAGGTATGTTTAGAACATAGAACATAGAACATTACAGCGCAGTACAGGCCCTTCGGCCCTCAATGTTGCGCTGACCTGTGAAACCAATCTGAAGCCCATCTAACCTAAACTATTCCATTATCATCCATATGTTTATCCAATGACCATTTAAATGCCCTTAAAGTGGGCGAGTCTACTATTATTGCTGGCAGGGCATTCCACGCCCTTACTACTCTCTGAGTAAAGAACCTACCTCTGACATCTGTCTTATATCTATCACCCCTCAATTTAAAGCTATGTCCCCTCCTGCTAGCCATCACCATCCGAGGAAAAAGGCTCCCACTGTCCACCCTATCTAATCCTCTGATCATCTTGTATGTCTCTATCAAGTCACCTCTTAACCTTCTTCTCTCTAACGAAAACAGCCTCAAAACCCTCAGCCTTTCCTCATAAGACCTTCCCTCCATACCAGGCAACATCCTGGTAAATCTCCTCTGCACCCTTTCCAATGCTTCCACATCCTTCCTATAATGCGGTGACCAGAACTGTACGCACTACTCCAAGTGCGGCCGTTTTGTACAGCTGCAACATGACCTCATGGCTCCGATACTCGATCCCTCTACCAATAAAACCTAACATACTGTACGCCTTCTTAACAACACTATCAACCTGGGTGGCAACTTTCAGTGATCTATGCACATGGACACCGAGATCTCTCTGCTCATCCACACTACCAAGAATCTTACCATTAGCCCAGTACTCTGTATTCCTGTTACTCCTTCCAAAGTGAATCACCTCACACTTTTCCGCATTAAACTCCATTTGCCACCTCTCAGCCCAGCTCTGCAGCTTATCTATGTCCCTCTGTAACCTGCAACATCCTTCCGCACTATCCACAACTCCACCGACTTTGGTGTCATCCGCAAATTTACTAACCCATCCTTCTACGCCCTCATCCAGGTCATTTATAAAAATGACAAACAGCAGTGGCCCCAAAACAGATCCTTGAGGTACACCACTAGTAACTGAACTCCAGGATGAACATTTCCCATCAACCACCACTCTCTGTCGTCTTACAGCTAGCCAATTTCTGATCCAAACCACTAAATCACCCTCAATCCCATGCCTCCGTATTTTCTGCAATAGCCTACCGTGGGGAACCTTATCAAACGCTTTACTGAAATCCAAATATACCACATCAACCGCTTTACCCTCATCCACCTGTTTGGTCACCTTCTCGAAGAACTCAATAAGGTTTGTGAGGCACGACCTACCCTTCACAAAACCGTGTTGACTATCCTTAATCAAATTATTCCTTTCTAGATGATTATAAATCCTATCTCTTATAATCCTTTCCAACACTTTACCCACAACCGAAGTAAGGCTCACTGGTCTATAATTACCAGGGTTGTCTCTACTCCCCTTCTTGAACAAGGGGACAACATTTGCTAGTCTCCAGTCTTCTGGCACTATTCCTGAAGACAATGACGACATAAAGATCAAAGCCAAAGGCTCTGCAATCTCCTCTCTAGCTTCCCAGAGAATCCGAGGATAAATCCCATCCGGCCCAGGGGACTTATCTATTTTCACACCTTCCAGAATTGCTAACACCTCCTCCTTATGAACCTCAATCCCATCTAGTCCAGTAGACTATCTCAGTATTCTCCTCGACTACATTGTCTTTTTCCTGTGTGAATACTGACGAAAAATATTCATTTAGCACCTCTCCTATCTCTTCGGACTCCACGCACAACTTCCCACTACTGTCCTTGACCGGCTCCAATCTTACTCTAGTCATTATTTTATTCCTGACATACCTATAGAAAGTTTTAGGGTTTTCCTTGATCCTACCTGCTAAAGACTTCTCATGTCCCCTCCTGGCTCTTCTTAGCTCTCTCTTTAGGTCCTTCCTGGCTAACTTGTAACTCTCAAGCGCCCTCACTGAGCCTTCACGCCTCATCTCTACATAAGCCTCCTTCTTCCTCTTGACAAGAGATTCAACTTCTTTAGTAAACCACGGTTCCCTCGCTCGACCACTTCCTCCCTGCCTGACAGGTACGTACTTCTCAAGGACACGCAGTAGCTGTTCCTTGAACAAGCTCCACATTTCAATTGTGCCCAGCCCCTGCAGTTTCCTCCTCCATCCTATGCATCCTAAATCTTGCCTCATCGCCTCATAATTGCCTTTCCCCCAGCTATAACTCTTGCCCTGCTTTATATACCGATCCCTTTCCATCGCTAAAGTAAACGTAACCGAATTGTGGTCACTATCACCAAAGTGCTCTCCTCCCTCCAAATCTAACACCTGGCCTGGTTCATTACCCAGTACCAAATCCAATGTGGCCTCGCCTCTTGTTGGCCTATCTACATACTGTGTCAGGAAACCCTCCTGCACACATTGGACAAAAACTGACCCATCTGAAGTACTCGAACTATAGCGTTTCCAGTCAATATTTGGAAAGTTTGGCAGAAAATGACCACTGCACTTAACTGTACTTTTTTATTTAACAAATTAGGTTACATGACCTGGTACGAATACACTCGTGCTTCAAAATCTGCATGATCAGCTGATTTTCTTTTTTTTTTATTGTACTATCACTAGTGTTAATTCTAACTGCTCACTTTGTTTCTTTTTGATGGCATTCAATCAGTCCTGAATCAGCAATCCAGCAAAATGCTGCAAGGTACTATTGACTCTTGAATTGTTGGATGGCACATAATGCTGGGCAATGTACTATTCAGAGTTTGGGACAGGATAATTGCAGCGAGAAAGCATCAATATTAGAAGCGGATACTGAAAGGAGCCACTGAGCAGTTAATCGATCATCTGGTTAATGTGCTGGTGAGCACTAAACAACTGTCACTTTATCAGTTGCCTACACTGCTGTTAGCTATGTGTTGATTTGTATTACTGAATTAGTCAGTGTAACCTGGCAGGTTGAAATATTTTTTGATTGAGTTGCATCCTTAAATTTTCAAGTTCCTTTCTTCAGTCTTGAGTGGCATTTCTTTGCCTTCCACAGTTACCCAGAAAAGATTTATGCTGATCGACATCGAGCTTACTGCTATGTTCCAGCAGGTATCGCTGCAGTGCTGAAACGTCGTCCTGATCTTTTGGCACCTGCCATCCAAGCTTTCTATCTTCGCGATCCTATTGACCTATGTGCTTGCCGCCCGTTTAAGCTCTTTCTCCCTGAGACTCGTGTGATGACTCTGGTAAGAGTCTTTTAATGTATCAGAAAATGTCACACCATTAGATTGAAGAAAAAGCAGGTAACTAACAATGATGTGTGGCAGGTCAGAATGTTACAAACAGCAGAGAATGACCAACTGGTTAATGAGGAAGAATAAATTAGAATATGATAGGAACTGTCTGCTTCAAAAAGCAGTGGAGGTGAGATGTTTAAATATTTTTAAGGCAGAAGAATCGAAGTTATTGGGGTAAATGGCAATGAGGACTTCAAAATGCAAACAGATTGGCCATTGTCTTATTGATTGCAGAGCAGGCTGGAGGGGCCAAATGGTCTATTCTCATTTCAGAAATTTGTATTTGAGTCATGGATGTAAGCAGATGCAGTCAGTTAAGGAAAGAAGAAAGATATGCATTTATGTAGCATTTCTGATGACCACCAAATGTTCCAAAATACTTTACAGCCAGTGAAGTTTGGACTCTGTTGTACTGAAGAACATGTAACGTAGGGTTATCAATTATATCTCTCATCTCTTGTACTACTTAGGCCTAGGAAGCAATTATCAATTCGTTAAAAGCACCACGAAGAGAAAGCATAAACAATGTGTATTTCTGAATGTATTACCCAAAGGAGAATTGGGTGTCAAAATGTCCTCTTGCATTTCATTGTAGGTGACATTTACAAAATGCTTGTACGCCCAATTACAGCAACAGCGGTTCACACCGGATAGACGGAGTGGTTATACACTGCCAGCACAGTCCGACCAGCATTTCAAAGCACATGCATTAGGCACAAAGCTGGTAGGTAATGTGGAATATTGGTGTTTAAGGAATCCAAGCTGCATCTGCTATATAAAAACAATTACAGTTTGACTGGCTTGCTATGGTGAGCAATCTGGTTAGAAGCTGGTCAGAACAGACCTTGAATACTGTGACCAGTTGTAATCACTGAGGCACTTGTAATCACTTCAGACTTTGAACAGGTTCGGAGAAGAGCACAAGCGTTACAAGGAAAATCTGGAGAAACCTTTATCTTTTAAATTTGGTAAGAAGCATCTGAGAGATTTCCTGACTAATCAGTTAGAAATATTATCTTAACAATAGTATTTGAGTTCAAGCTACCGAAAGGCAGATTTTGAACTGATACTAGGAAATGTTCCTTCACGACAAGTGATCAGCACTTGAACAGGTGAGAATAGCGGTGGCAAAACCCTGAACTACTTTTTAAGTAATGAATCAGTGGAGTAATGGCATTAATGTGCTGCTCAATGGATGGAATTGGATTAATATTTGAAAATAAATAACACAACAAGATACAGGGAAATGGGGCTAAAGGAGAGACCTAGTTTTAAAGAGCTAGCACCAGCACAAATCTAAATCGCAGTCATATGAATTCTTTAGGGAAACATCTATGATTCATTGATAGATAAATTGAAAGTGAATTTTTTGATTATCAGTCCATAAAATATTTTCTTTATTCCTTAGTTTACTTTTTTCCTCAACCATCATATCCATTCTATACTCCTTAGTTTCCCATTATTTCTTTTTGTCTTTTTAAGAACTTTAAGATATTTAAGAGCTTCCCAATTTTACGGGGTTTATGCTTCATTTTAGATTATACCATCAATGTGAGCTTGGATTAAAGCAACATGCCAGAGCATACTCATTCACAAGCCTTCTGTTAATATCAGCAATCAATTCAAAATAAATAACTTAAACATACTGTTGCTAATGTTATTTAAATTTTTAATCAGCTGCCCTTCTTCTCCTGCTGTTTGGTTAATTAGTGCTCCAGCATTATCTATGCTTGAAGTACTAAAGTCTGTGGGATGGCGGAGAAAATGATTGAGATCTGCTACATGTAGAGAGCCAAAATCTCTTCCTGCCCGACTCTCACTGTGTTTTACGCAATGCTTTATTTTTCCTTTATGCCATATGTTTTGTGAATACTGATACTGCTAAACCCATTTTTAATGTTTACACTGCAACTCATTCTCTATCTTTAATTTTCTAGGCCCATGGCTTTGAGATCCTATGTTCCAAATGTTCGCAGCGCTCTCCTAGCTCCAAGACACAAAGCAATATTTCCAGTGACCCACTCTGGGAAGGCTTTATAAGCAGTCTAAAGAAGAACGACTATTTCAGGGTAAGGCCGAGATTTGTTTTCAGTCTCTGGCATTTGTTCAATAATGACATTGCTGGAGTGTTACATATGAACCTGTTGGATTCAGTTGCAATTAATGTTTGTCAGTAGAGTTTTAATTTCACTTCCCAGGTTTTAAGGATTTATGAATCTCTCCCACTATTGAGCTTGTATCTAAATTTTTTTTATTGCTAGCTGGTATCCACTTCTTTTCCTCTGTTAAAGAAACAGGTAGATGAGCAAACTGTGTTGTGCAGGAATAGTATTTGCGCTCAGTGTATGAAATACATGACGAGCTGATAGGTTTCAGGTGATTAATGAAGTTTAAGGACAAATACCTTAAATTTTCAGCAGGGGGCAACACCTTACATTGCATGGTGAGCCTGGTGGAAATTTTCTGAAGAGGTAGTTAATTTTGACTTTAAACAAGGGTGTATGAAGTTATCATGCTATCTGACCACTTCTGTCATCAGGTATTATTACCAATATGGTGTACAACCTACACTTGTCAATTTAAATGCACTCAAACCCAGTGAAGTTAGCTCAGTCAGATTATATGGGATCCAGTGAAAGCTAGCCAATTGGATATAAAATTGGCTGGACGGTTGGAGACAGGGTGGTGGTAGAGGGTTGTTGCTCATATTGGAGGCCTGTGACCAGCGGTACGGCCATAAGGATTGGTGCTTGGTCCGCTGTTGTTTGTTATTTATATAAATGATTTGGATGAGAAGAAATGAGGCATGGTTAGTAAGTTTGCGGATGACACCAAAATTGGTGATATCGTGAATAGTGAAGAAGATTATCTAAGAGTGCGTGGGATCTTGATCAACTGGGCCAGTGGGCTGAGGAATGGCATATGCAGTTTAATTCAAATAAATGCAAAGTGTTGCATTTTGGTAAGACAAATCAGGGCAGGACTTAAACAGATAATGGTAGGGCCCTGGGTTTGTTGTCAAACAGGTCTAGGTGTCGGGGTACGTAGTTCCTTGAAAGTGGCATCACAAGTAGACACAGTGGCGAGGAAGGCATTTGGCATGCTTGCCTTGATCTGTCAGAGCATTGACTACAGGCATTAGGATGTCATGTTATGGGTGTACAAGACCCTGGTGAGGCCATGTTTGGAGTACTCCATGCAATTCTGGTTGCCGTGCTGTAGGAAGGACGTTATTAAACTGGAAAAGATGCGAAAAAGATTGACGAGGATATTACCAGGACTGGAAGTTTTGAGTTATAAGGAGAGGCTGGATAGGCTGGGACTCTTTTCCCTGGAGCTTGGGAGGCTGAGGAGTGATTTTATAGAGGCTTATAAAATCATGAGGGGCATGGATAAGATGAGTAGTGGTCTTATCCTCAGGGTAGGGCAGTCCAAAATTGGAGGGCGTAGGTTTAAGGTGAGAGGAGCAACTTTTTCACATAGAGGGTGCTACGTATATGGAACGAGCTACCAGAGGAAATGGTAGAGGTGGGTACAATTGCAGCATTTAAAAGATACTTGGACAGGTACGTGGATAAGGAAAGTTTAGAGGGACATGGACCAAACGCAGGCAAATAGGACTAGTTCAGTTTTGGAAACTTGCTCAGCACGGATGAGTCAGACCAAAGGGCCTGCTTCTGTGCTGTATGTCTCTATGACTCTATAACAGAATGAAGTGTCTTTGACCCAACATCACCATAATGCCTAAAAAGCAGCATAATCGGCTAAACAGAACTTGGGAACATTCTGAGACTGTGAAAGGTATTATATGTGTGCTAGTCTTTCTTTTGTTATAACTATATTTAAACGTTGTACCATTCTCTCAGAAGAGTAGCTGCATATTTAATTGCATAATTTGTTTGGATTCTGGGTGAACGTATAGCAATTTGTACAATATTTTTAAACTTTTTTAAAAATCGCAACAAAAGATCAAATGTCTATCCTGCGAATGATTGATTGTTTTTCCTCATTTTTTTGGTAGCAAGTGATTTATCGCACACTCTGCACATGGGGTAGTAGGATAAATGCTTGAACTTTGCTCAAGTGTGAACATAGGCACATTAGTACTGGATTAAAGTACTATATCTGAAAAAGTTAAACTGACTGTGAGGGTCACGATTGAGAATTTCGCTGAGTCATATAGCACGGTCCACGCCAAACTAAACTGTTCCCTCCTGCCTGCTCCTGTCCCGTATCCCTCCAAACTTTTCCTATTCATGTACGTACCTAAGTGTCCTTTAAACATAACTGTGCTTGCATCCACCACTTAATCAAGAAGTTCATTCCACACGCGAATCAAGCTTTGTATAAAAATTTGCCCCTCATGTCTTGTTTAAATCTCTCTCCTGTCACCTTAAACATGTGCCCCCTTGTCTTGAGCACAGGTTCAGCTCCACTTTCCTACTTGCTGCAGAACTGGGCTGAGAGGTGGCAAATGGAGTTTAATGCGGAAAAGTGTGAGGTGATTCACTTTGGAAGGAGTAACAGGAATACAGAGTACTGGGCTAATGGTAAGATCCTTGGTCATGTGGATGAGCAGAAAGATCTCGGTGTCCATGTGCATAGATCACTGAAAGTTGCCACCCAGGTTGATAGCGTTGTTAAGAAGGCGTACAGTATGTTAGGTTTTATTGGTAGAGGGATTGAGTATTGGAGCCATGAGGTCATGTTGCAGCTGTACAAAACTCTGGTGCGGCCGCACTTGGAGTATTGCGTACAGTTCTGGTCCCCGCATTATAGGAAGGATGTGGAAGCATTGGAAAGGGTACAGAGGAGATTTACCAGGATGTTGCCTGGTATGGAGGGAAGGTCTTGTGAGGAAAGGCTGAGGGTCTTGAGGCTGTTTTCGTTAGAGAGAAGAAGGTTAAGAGGTGACTTGATAGAGACATACAAGATGATCAGAGGATTAGATAGGGTGGACAGTGGGAGCCTTTTTCCTCGGATGGTGATGGCTAGCACGAGGGGACATAGCTTTAAATTGAGGGGTGATAGATATAGGACAGATGTCAGAGGTAGGTTCTTTACTCAGAGAGTAGTAAGGGCGTGGAATGCCCTGCCTGCAAAAATAGTAGACTCGCCAACTTTAAGGGCATTTAAATGGTCATTGGATAAACATATGGATGATAATGGAATAGTTTAGGTTAGATGGGCTTCAGGTTGGTTTCACAGGTCGGCGCAACATCGAGGGCCGAAGGGCCTGTACTGCGCTGTTATGTTCTATGCTCCCCATCTCCCTCGATTCCCTGAGAGACCAAAGATCTGTCTAACCCCAGCATTGTATAAAATCCACCACGGGAGCTCCTTAACTCTCTGCAATTAAGAATTCCAAAGATTCACGACTAAACACCCCGTTCCCATCTCAGACCTAAATACTACAAAGGAACAAAAGTAGACCACTCGGCCCTTCAAGCCTATTTTATAAGATCATAACTAATCTGATTCTAATGTCAGCTATACATTCTTGATTACCCCCAATAATCTTTGGCAGTCAAGAATCTATCAACTTCTGTCTTCAACACATTTATAAGTTTTGCATCCACTGCCTTTTGAGGAAGGGAATTCCAAAGACTTTTAACCTTCTGAGAGTTAAAAATGAAAAAAATGACTGGCCTCTCATCCTGAGAATGTGCTCTCTCCCAACCAACAGAAACAATGCCAGACCATCAAATCTTCTGTCTCAATGCAATTGCCCTCATTCATCTAAACTCCAGAGAACAGATGCGCGCGCACACACAGTTGAACAAAAGCATACATACGCACATGTGCCAACAGATACATGTGCGTGAACAGAATGCAACCATACACAGATGAATAGACATGCATATGTACACATGTGAACAGACATGCAAGCGCACGCACACGTGAACTGAGAATGGACGCATGCAAATACACATGCAAGTACGTGTATACAGAGAACGAGCACACTCTTGAGACCACATACACATGTATGCTGGTATGTACACTACACACAGTCCTGGCATCCTCACCCTCCCTGCAACGCCTGCCATCACCCTCTGCTCCGTCCTGTTTTTGTTGCCTTTGCTGTGCCAGGACCTCTCTGCTGTCTCCTCGCCGTTTTCATCAAACATCATCCAGGTATGGCCCTCGGAAAGGCCCAAATGGACATCGCGGAGTCACAGTATCCGGCAGGTGGGCTACCACTGCAAAGGCCAGAGCTGACCGGTTTAGTACCAGCAATGAAACTTAATTTACAGAATAGCCTTCGTGCTATAGGACTCTGATTCTTACTTCATGCACCATCCTCCTTATGAAGCCTTAGAACCTGTGATCCATGAAAATCTTAGCCTCTGGACTCTACCACAAAGTAGTTGAGGCCAAAACATCGAATGTTTTCAAGAAGGATTTAGAAATAGTTCTTAGGCTGAAAGAGTTAAAAAGATATGGGGAGAAAATGGGAAGAACAGAGTACTGAGTTGAACGCTCAGCCCATGATCATATTGAATGGCAGAGCAAGCTCAAATGGCATATTCCTGCTCCTGCTTTCTATATTTCTACATATAAGCATGCATTGGATTTTAAGTCAAGTCGTCACAGATAGAAACCGAAAGAACTGCAGATGCTGTAAATCAGGAACAAAAATAAAGTTACTGGAAAAGCTCAGTAGGTCTGGCAGCATCTGTGAAGGAAAAAACAGAATTAACGTTTCAGGTCTGGTGACCCTTCCTCAGAACCTTCTAAAGAAGGGTCACCGGACCAGAAATGTTAACTGTTTTTTCCTTCACAGATGCTACCAGACCTGCTGAGCTTTTCCAGCAATTTTGTTTTTGTTCATCAGAGTTTAGAAAAATGAACTAATCTCATTGAAAAGAAGATTAGCTGGCTAACAGGAAACTGAGAGAAAGTCAGTTAGTAAAGATGTAATCAGCAGTGTGGCGCAGGGATCAGTGCTGGGACTTCAAATATTTGCAATTTATGTAAATGATTTGAATGAAGGTGCAGAAGGTACAGTTATCAGATTTGCTCATGAGGCAAAAGTAGTTGAAAGGATATAAAGAAGCTACAAAAAGATATTAATAGATTAAATGAATAGGCAATGATCTGACAAATGAAGAGTAATATGGGAAAATGTGAAATTGTCTATTTTGCAGGAAGAATGAAAAGGAATATTCTCTAAATGATTGCAGGTCTCTGTGATGCAGAGGGAGTTGCTAGTGCATTAATCACAAGGCCTGTACACATTTATAGCCAGTAATTAGGGAAATTGATAGAATGTTGTTATTATTGCTAGATGAATTGAGCACAACAGTACTGTTATACAGGCCACTGGTGAAACCACATCTGGAGTACTATGTATGTTATTGGACTCGTTTTTTAAGGAATGATATAAATGTATTGGAAGCAGTGCGGAGGCTTACCAGAATAATACCTGGAGTGGATGGGTAGTCTTATGTAGAAAGCTTGGACCAGTTCGGCTTGAATTCACTGTTATTCAAAAGAGAGAGGGAGATGATTTGGTTGAAAGGTATAAGATCCTGATGGGCTTTGACAAGGTAGAAGTGCGTGGGAGAATCTAGATTGAGGGGTTATGTTGCAAGGTAACTAATCAACCATTTATGACTGAGATGAGGTGAACTTTCCTCCGAGGGTTGAGAGATTTTGGAACTGCCTTCCTGAAAAGGTGGTGGAAGCAGAGTCCTTGAATATTTTTAAGACCGAGGTAAACAGATTCGTGTTAAGCAAGGGGTTGAAAGGTTATCGGGAGTAGGTAGGGATGTGGATTTGAGATTCTAGTCAGATCAGTTATGAACTTATTAAATGGTGGAGTAAGCTCAAGGGGCTGAATGGACTGTCCATGCTCCTTATTTTTGTGTTCCAGAGTTATAGGTTATAGACTCAGGATAAGAGGCCTTCCACATAGGACTGTACTGAGGTGAGATTTCCTCACTGATGCTGAGATTGAAATTTTTAGAGATGATGGGAGTAGGTTGAAAAAAGAAAAGTTTGTGTAGAAGATCAGCAGTGGTTTTAATGAGTGATGTAGCATGCTCAAGACCTCCTTTTAGACCTGAATTCTTGTTTCTTATTGTTTGTCAAGTCCTCAAAAAGTCCTCATCTGCAAGCTGCCTTTTGGTGACACCATCTGTTTCACAGAGAAGGTCACTGGAGATCATCAGCTTCCTTGTATATGCTAACAGTGCTCCAGCTCTGTTTCTTCACTGTCTCTTGTCTTCATTGTCCCTGTATCATTGAACTGATTGTCTGATCAACAATAATTTCTCTCAGTTTAGCATTGCTAATACCAAAGTTATGATCTTTTCTCCGTTCTCTGTAATATAATTTCCTGTCCGCTAATTCAGTTCTTCTCCTTGGCCGCTATCTAAACTGAGCCAGTCTGTTCACAACCTCAAAGTTGTGCACTGTGCTGAGTAGGTTTTCTGTGTCTATGTCCTGTCCATCACATAGAACATCTGCGTATATCTCCCTTATATCACGCATCTCTACACTTACTTCAAAAACATATCCATTGTTTTTGCTATCACCAGGCTTGAATATACCTGTGCGTTCCTGATCAGACTCCCATCCTACATCATTCATAAACTTCCCATGCCCATTACCCCATCCCTGCTGGCCCTCATTGGCCCCTTGCCCCTAATGCTTCAAATTTTAAATTCTTTGCATTTAAGTTTGTTCAAGTAAGAGATGGGGTAATATATATACATATGTTTGTACATTCCCACTCAGCCTCCAATTTCCATTTTCTTTGCCTCCTGTTCCTCAAACAATCCCCCTCTTCTTATCCCACCATTGGTGGTGGTGAAGTCTGTAATCCCATCCATCTCTCTCTCGCGCGCGCTCTCACTAAGGTGACTGACAGACGAGCCAAAGATGATAAAAGGAAAAAAATATTTATGAAGTGAGTGATTAGGACCTGGGATGCACTCTGTTCGTGGTTGGGGGCAGATTTATTCAAAAGAAAATTTGTTCATTATTTGAGGTGCAAAATATCTACAGGGTTATGGCTAAAAGGCAGGGGAGTCGGAATCAGTTGCCCTTGAAAATGATAGACGTGGGCATAATTGACCAGATGTTCTGTTCTGTAACTATTCTGTTGTCCTCTCCCATCTTAAAATCCACCTTTACAACCAAGCCTTTGGTCTCTGACCAAATACACTTTCCTTTAGCTTTGTTTGTTTCTTCATTAAACCTCTGTGAAGCACGCAGCATTGTTAATGCAGGGGCATTTTTCCTATGTCAATTCTGTAGACCTCGGAATATATTTTGTCATCCAACTGCACAAGAGCATTTAAGTAATAGTGTAAAGCAGATATTGTATTTTTCACTGCTTTGCTGTTGCTCTTTCAATTCTTACCAGCAGATGACAGCAGTGAATTACATAAATGTTCAGGTGCTATTTCATGATCTGTATTAGAAGTTATGTATTAGAACCTTTCGTATTAAATTGTTTGCAGTACTGAAATATAGGTTTGGCCTTCTGCAGATCTTGGTAAACATAAATAATAACACTCGTATAACGTTTATAATAGACAGAAATTGTCCGAGATATTCTTAAAGGAGAAATAAAAAGTGAGTATTAGCGGGAGTGTTAGAGATGACTGAAAGCGTGGTTGAACAAGTAGGTTTTGAAGAAATGTTTAAAGGCAATGGGAAAGGGGAGCAAAGGGAAAGTATTGTATTGAGCAAGGTTGCAGTGACTGAAGGATTTGCTGCCATTTGGCACTACTGAGGGTTGCTGGATTCAAAGGAGATCAAGGCCGTGGATAGAAAGCTGAAAGAGTTCAACTGGAACAAGCCCATGCAGAGATGTGTGAATGACAAAATATTGAATTGACCTACCCAATCTACAGTCTTTATGCTAAAGCTTTATTTCTGTCATCAACAAATGACACACAGTTATTCTGTAATTAATGTGGTGGATATTTGTTGGGTATGAATATCAAGCTATGTGAGGAAACTTTGGTCTGGTAGAGATCGCCCATGATCTAAGTGAATACCTGGACGTACTTGAGGGGCTGAATGGTCTAACCCATTATGTTCCTTCCATCAGAAGTTTCCGAACGTGCATTCTCCTTGAATCTGCAAGAAATTTGACTGGTTCATCTCCCCCAGCAACCTCCATTATTCTTTCACTACAGCATCTTAGAAAGTTTTTGTTCAAGAAAAGGTATTTAATATGTTAGCATTATAAAGCACAGTTAAAGCCCACATGTAACCTTCAAGATTTTCTGCTGAGAAAGGTTGGCCAGGTAAATACAACTGAGTGACTTTTTTCAGCCAAAAGTACAAAAACTAGCAGAACACATTCTATTGCCCCAGCTGGGCAGCAGCATTGAATCGAAAAGGCAGCAAATCGATAAAGCCAGGTAGTGCATTCACGTTAAATAGGCAAGTTTTATACACCAAACAGGTTATGTGTTTGTGTCTGACAGGGAGAACTGGAGGGTTCTGCACGCTACAAAGACTTACTCCAAATGGCGGAGATTTACTTCCAACATTCTGTTTCCAGGCCCACAAGGTAAAGTGCAAGATAGTGTGTTCTGTGTGCTTACATTAACAAAATGAACTTAATCTGCTAACTCAATGCTGCAAACCAGGGACAAGAATAGAAATTGCTGGAAAAGCTTAGCAAGTCTAGCAGCATCTGTGGAAAGAAATCAAAGTTAACGTTTCCTCAAAAGGATCACTTCTTACTCCAAACCAGGTAACTCTTTCAGTGTAGGTGGTTACGATACAAAGAATGATTCAAGTTGACAGTATTAGACAGGACCTTTCAAAAGTTGATTGGGAGAGGCTATTTGCAGGTAAAGGGACAGTTGGGAAGTGGAAAGCCTTTTAAAATGAGGTAATGAGTTCAGAGACATTATGTTCCTGTTAATGTGAAGGGCAAGGCTGGTAGGTGTAGGGAATGCTGGATGACTAGAGAAATTGAGGCTCTGGTCAAGAAAAAAGAAGGAGACATATGTCAGGTATAGACAGCTGGCGTTGAGTCAATCCCTAGGGAGTATAACGGCAATAAGCGTATAGTCATAGGGAATCAGGAGCTTTGGAAAATAGAGTTAGAGAATCGGTAGAGATTCTGTAAGTACATTAAGAGCAAAAGAGAAACTAGGGAGAGAATAGAACCCCCTAAAGGTCAATGTGGCCGTCTGTGTGGAACCACAAGAGATGGGTGAGATACTAAACGGCTATTTCACGTTAGTATTTGCTGTGGAGAAGGACATGGAAGCTAGGGAACTTGGGGAAATAAATAGTGATGTCTTGAAAAGAGTTCTGCCAGAGGAAATGGTGGAGCCTGGTACAATTACAACATTTAAAAGGCATTAGGAAGGGTTTAGAGGGATATGAGCCAAATGCTGGCAAATGGAACTAGGTCAGATTGGGACGTCTGGTTGGCACACATGGGTTGAAACAAAGGGTCCGTTTCCGTCCTGTATGACACTGTGACTCTAGCAGCTTACTGCCTATTCAGGAATAAGCTTCATTGTTTATATTAATTGCTTCTTGCCCATTTGGAGTGTAGTTTCTGAGCAGCTGTGTTTCCACACAATTGTTTTACTGCCGTTGCTTATGGCTCGCTACCTGGTGACATCAGCTTCCTCCACAGTCACCATGAAGGCAAACATTTGAATTAAAGACTTGCTGTGTTCTGGGGCAGTTGGGTCACTTGAGCTTCTTTGACATGGGACAAAAAATTTCTGACTCTGTTGAAATTATAGGCAGAGCCATCTCGTTGGACCTCCCTGCATTTTGATGATTCCACCAACCATGGCACCTTTGCTACTCCTTCACACTGCCGGTCTTTTACTGATGCTCAAAGTGCCATCTAATGCAAACAGACAATACTTGCGCAAGTCAAAATTGCTGACTTGGAGCTGTAGTTTAAGTAAACTGCTATGATTAATTACTATATTAAATATCTGTAAGAAGGATTAAATTTGCAGAATTATGAACTGCATGTTTCGTTTGCTGTCAGTATGTTTGCTGGCAAATCTCACCCAGCTGCATTAACTGCAGAAGAGTCCTGAGGGAATAAAACATTAATTAAAAACTGCCATATATATCAATACAGCAACATTTGTTTAGCACTCTGCACATAATTAAAATAACTTCTGAGGCTTCGCAGTGCTGTAAAGTGACCAAGCAGAAAATTGTGGTTGAGGAAATGTTAGCAGTGATGGAAGAGTAGACCAGTGTGTTATAGAGAGCAATCCCTGAGGAGTGCTGACAGTGGAGGGGAGGGTGTGTTCAGTGTTCAGTGTTCAATTTTTGATGGAGTTGGTGGAAATGGTGGAAGATGATCCATTCCATGTGGAGATTGCTGGAGTGAAAAATGAGGACAAGGGGACACTCCCTATCATTGTTCTGGAGAGAGGGGAAGAGATGTAGGAAGAAGTGTAGGAAATGGGTTGATCATGGCTGAGGGCCTTGTCAACCAGGGTGGGGTTGGGGGTTTGGGGAAATTCCAATGGAGAATGGAGAACATCAGGCACTGTGGGTATGGAGGCACCATTGAAATGGATGTGACGTTGATGGAGAATCTAGAAGACAGAATAGAATCCTCGCATGAAGCAAGCTTTCAGGAAATTTAGTCAAGATAAGTCAGTTGGCAGATATTCGTGGCCAACCTATTGGCAGAAATGGAAACCAAGAAGTAAAGGCGAGGTAGGGAATAGTCAGAGGTGGGCCAGGCAAAGGTGAGAGAAAAATGAAAATTGGAAGCAAAATTGGTCAGCTTTATCATTTTCCTGCGAGAGCAGGGAACTGATGATATCGTCGATGCACCAAAGAAACAGTCATGGGAATGGGCTCAAGTAGTACTGGAACAAGGAATGTTTTACATAGTCCACAAAGAGATGGACATAACTGAGACCCTTGTGGGCACCAGTTGCCACAGCTTTGATTTAGAGAAAGTGAGATGAATTAAAGGAGCAGTTGTTCAAAGTGAGAATGAGCTCATTTCACGAAGGAGGGTGGTGTTGGCGAAGGAAACTGTTCAGGTCTCCCTTCAAGAAAGAAGCAGAGTGTCTTCAGCCCATCCCGATAGGGGACAGACCTGTAAAACGATTGCACGTCCGTGGTGATGAGGTGGCTGAGGCCAATAAATTGGAAATTGTGGAACTCATGTAAAGTGTCGGAAGAATCATGAATATAAGTAAGAAGAGACTGAACAAGGGGAGAAAGAATAGAATTGAGATAGGAAGAAATGAGTTTGGTGGGGCAGGAGCAGGCTGAAACAATGGGTCTGCCAGGGCAGTCCTATTTGTGGATTTTGGTATGTAGGGTTAGAGGAGTGTGAGGTGGGAAGCTGTGGACGGGAGATCACCAGAGGACATAAGATCAGTGACATTCTTGGAAACAACAGCTTGATGTTCAACACTAAGGTTATAGTCTGGGAAAGATAGGTGTCTGTGAGTTGGCTCTCAGCCTCTGCAAGGTAGATGTGGTTGTTGTCTGGCATGCCAACATCACCCTTATCAGCAGGTTTGACAACAAAGGCAGAGTTAGACTGGAGAGAAGAGAGTTCAGCAAGTTCAGACAGAGACAGGTTAGAGTGGGTGAAGTGAGTAGAGAAATAAAGACGGTCAATGTGATGAGTCTTGATGAAGCGATCAAGTGCAAGAGGACAGATGGAGGGAGTGGATGCTTTATTTTTCTCTCCACAGATGCTGCCAGACCTGGTGAGGTTTTCCAGCGATTTCTGTATTTGTTTATGATTTAAAGCAGTTCTTTTGGTTTTTATTTTGGAGTTAAAGTACTAATGATAGAACATTTCTAACTTTTGTGCACTTTAACTGGCACCTATCTAATGTATTAATTGCTTCTAAATAATTGGCTGTATTTTTCTTTTAAAGTCACACTCGCTCTTTCTGGTCTCCTCAGTTTACCTGCCTTAAGCCCAGGGGAACAGATCCTGCAGCTTTTGCAATCTCTGTCCTACAGTGTGGAAGAACTACAGAAGGAAGGGGACAACCTCCCTCCAGACGATGGTGAGTATTGTTGATTAACGGTGCCTAAGAAGCTCATAGTACAGACCACAGACTGAATCTACAATCTAAGCTTAACGAATTGCACAGGATTACAGTCAAACAACAAGTTCAGGAGTTAAGACACAAGGTCAACGTTCAAGCCCCAGTATTACTGATTCAGTCACAAGACTGATCCTCAGATCTGAGTTATGAGAAAGGGTTAGACAAACCTGAAGGGGGCTTAATAGAGGTGTACAAAATAATAATAATCAAATAAAAGGCAAATCTAAAACATTTGGTTCAAATTACACAGCTGTTAGGACAAGCACGTCGGTTCTAAACTACTAAGACTGTTGTCAGGAGATTATTTCCACAGATTGATCAACGTGTGGTATTGGCTAGGGATATTTTAGTGAAGGCAGAAACCCTGGAATAATTTTTTTTAAAAGCTGTAAGTTATGATAGGGGATAACTCTGGATAGGTTAGAATGGGCAAAGGGGCCTTTTCTCAACTGTATACATTACTGTACATTCTTTGATCAGATCTAGTAAGGCAAGATATTGGAGAATGAAATAAAAAGTTCACAGCAGTGGTGCTGTTAATTAAGGAATCCGGTCTGGTACAAAAGGAAAATATTGTAGATGCTGTAAACTTGAAATGAGTCAGTTTGTCCCACCAAAGACCTGACGACTTCACACACTTACCCCATTTCAACCTGCTCAGTTCTTCTGTTAACATGTTTAGGATATAAATGCTAGCAAAGTACCTACTGCCAAGGGATTTGATATTGTTTCACTGTGATTTTTTTTACCTTTCCTGATATCAATGGAAGGATTTGCAGTAATGTTCCATGGAAGCACTTCCTGTCTGGGGGTGCTCACTCATATCTGTTGTCTCACCTTTTTGATTTCTTTGCCTACCTAGATGATAGCTGGTTGGATATTTCACCTGAGGAGCTGGATCAGATGCTGGAGGAGGCTTCTGGAAGGAAACTGTTGAATTCTGCCAGACAGGAGGAGGGACTGGATTACGATCTCAGTGACGTCACAAAGAATATGAAGGCATTTGTCTCAAAAGTGTCCTCTCATGAAGGTGCAGAGATACCACGGTATGGGACATAAGAATTATTTGTTTATACTTTTTTTAAAAACTCAGCATGGATTACAGTAAACCTTAATATGGATGCATGTTGACCACGTAACATGCATGAGAATCAAGTTTCTAGAATTGACCCAGGGTAACCATGTAACAGCATCGACCAGTCAGACCATTCAGGAAGATTTGAAGTAAATGTTTAGCTCCTATGACGTTTCTTCTTTCAGACTGCATTTTCTCACTCTCCCCGAAAAAGCTAACCCTCTGATCTAGCAATGTGTCTATTCAGCGGACATTTCTCAATTCCAGATGTCCTTACCCACACCCTTTGCCGAGCACAGCTTTGTTTGTGCTCTTGAGTATGCATTGATTTCTCCCCATTCCAAATCCTCCCTCTGAGGCCCTCTCCAAGTACTCGGCTTCCATTTCTTTATCCCTTCCAGGTAAAATCTTGGTCCTCCAGGTTTGATACCACAACTTGCCCCAAGTTCTGTTAAATGTACTGTTTACCTATGAACTCAAAGTATTCTATAAAAATAAGAACATAACAAATAAATGTAACATGGATCCTGAATTACATCTGTGTGATTTTGTACAACTATCTCTACACTCTAATTCTAATTTCTCAAAAGACACACTTCACCTCACTCTTCATATACAAAGTGTCAGGCAATCAACCAGTAAATACTGAAATGTTACATGTCCACTGAGTAAAAGCTTCAGATGTCCAATCTTACTGAATTATAACTGAGTTTGTTGTAATGTTTATCGAAAGTGATTACTAAATCAAGATTATAACTGAAGTCCATTGATAATGCATTATAAAAGTGTTGCTATTGTGATTCCCTGTTTGTGATGAAGCTACACCATAATTTAAATTTTCTCAATCTCTCTATCAGGTCTTCTGCTACTAGCCAAGTTGAATTTGATGTGAACTCCTTCACAGGTGCTTTGGAAAGGATCCTAGGTAGGAATCTGCCCTGTACAATATGGGGAGCATCATCTTCATGTGAGACATTTGAGGCTACATCTGCCTATTCAAGTGGATTCATGTCTGAAATAAGAGACAGGTTAATCAAAACGGAATATTAACCTATCCTTTCACATACTGAAAGACCTCACTATTTCTCCTCTTTTATATAGTCTTCCTTCCCAGCTGAGGTCCTCGTGCTGCTTTGTCAGCCACGTTGTCAGTGGAGACATTTGTCTTTCAGTTCACTCGCCTCTGAATCACAACATACCATGTTCAAATCCCACTCCAGGACTTGAGGGCAAATGTCAAGACTGAAATTTCAGTGCACTGAGTGCTGCTCTGTCAGAGATGCTGTCTTTTCAATGAGATGTTACACTGTCTGCACATTCGTGTGGGTGTGTGTTCTTTAGGTTAAAACAACCCCATGGCATAATTTTGAAGGAGGGTAGGATGCCGTGGCCACTTTTTATCCCTCAAATCACAAGGTCAAGTTATGTGGTCGCTATCACTTTGCTGTTTTGATGGCGGGGGGAGGGAAGCATTTCAGTGTGCTATTGGCTGCTGCATTTCCTACACCACAATGGTGAGTGTGCTTTCAAAAATGATGTTCTTTCTGTGTGAAGCATGTTGAGATATACAATGGTTATGAAAAATGCCACATTAATACACATGTTGTTTTATTGGACTGTTCTCTGGTCTTGACTACAGGGGTAGAATCAGATGAGCTCGATTCAGATGATCTTGATGAGGAAGAAGATTATGATTTATTGGACAGTGACACAGAATCTGACACAAAGGAGGGTAAATCAGAGGAGGATATGTCGGCCACAGAGACTCTTGAGAACATCCGAGACTACATGAAGCAAATGGATCAGGAGCTGGCAGGAACCCAAATTGGCAAAAGCTTTACTAAAATCACTGACAAGGTATCTTGGCTGCAAAGAGGCCAATCCATTCATAGTTGACTTTTTGCAAAGGGAGAACAAGGTTCTTTCAGCCTGCCACCAACACTAGGCCAGTGCTATCTTAGCTCACTGTCATTTTAACAGTCTTAGCAGCCCTGGTGACTGATTTTCCAGGCATCAAGTAGGTCCGTTCTTGACTACCCCTTTTCTTGTCGCAAAGGGTAAATTGAATCTCAAGCTGTACAGGTCAGTAGATCTTTACAATTCCATTTATCCCGTGCGCTTCTTGAAAACCCGTGGCATCCTTATTCCCCACACCATTGCTCCATTATTAGCCAATTCTCCAGAACTTTTGTCACCACCACCAACCCTGTCCCCATCTCCCCACCACAAGCCTTCTGACTTGTCACTTCAATCAACTTTCAAAATCTTCCTGAGTTTGTATCAACTTTTCTTATAGCCAGCATTTCAATACCCCTCTCCCTTTCCTTTTTCTCTTCAACTGATCGGTGACTTTCCCCACTAATGTACTGCAAGGTATCTTGGCCAGTGAGAGGAATGTATTAAAATATAGTATTAAGTACACAGTTTTGCCAATAGTACTATGAACTATCTGTTTGTGAGCTTAGGTCAATTTCTGGGACACCAGAGTGCTCCACTCAGTTACCTTGCAATTACCAGCCAGAAGGATGAACTCCTTTGTCTCGACCATCTCAAGTTCTGTGTTTCACACCCTTTACATAACCAAATCCCCATTCTAAAGAGTAGGACCAATTCCAATTCCTGTTCATCACAAATGGTCATATTTTGTTTTTTTTTACTCCAACCCACATGTGGTCCAACCTCACCTTAGCTGATACTCAATGCATGGAGTTAATGGCATCATGTCCAAAATAGAGGTCATTGACTCTGTCACCACTAAATTCTTCTTAAACCTGGCTCACTATAATCTTTTCCTGATTGGGCCCTTGTTCCTCCCATTTAGTCTTTTTACCACCTCCATCTCTTCCAAGAACACCTCCACTTGCTTGCTGCTGGTAACTGCAGAATAATTCTGGCATCACTCTAGATAGTCCCTCTTGAGAGACCTTTGAATTTAATATTGTGAGCTGTTAACCCCCGATACTGATAAACATCCGAGGCAACATCTAGGATTTATTGAATTGACTCCATTTTTTTTTACCTAAATGGAGAGTGAATGCATAAACCCTAACAGCACAGACGTGCACAGAATTCTCTTCTGGCCAGGATGATTCTAATTGGAATCCTATAGTAACAGATTTATTGTAACAGATACTGTAGCTGCAAGCTCAGTACAAATACACCATTAAATACAAATCTTGTGTTGTCTCACGCCGATGTATCTATCGTTGACACTTAGTGCAGCTTTCTACTTGATCACCTTGCAGGGTGGCTCGGACGGACTCGACGTATCTGAAGAAGCAGAGGGTGAATCGGGTGAAGAGGATTTGAAGGTTCTGCCTGTCGATGTGGACTTGAATCTGGTGGAGAACCTATTGGAGTCATACAGCTCACAAGCTGGCTTAGCTGGACCTGCCTCTAACATCTTGCAGAGTATGGGGATCCGACTACCAGATAACCAGGACAAGTGAAAGCCTCTGTGGTACCACTGCAATGATGCCACTTTGGACTCTGCTTTCTGATTCTTTATTGCTGCTACAGTACTACTGTTTCATAATGACTGGCAGTCAATAACCTTTTAAGGCTGACTGTGGCTGTAGATAACAATCAGGATTCACCAGTGAACTAGAAACCTCAAATTCTTTGAAAGGAAATTATGGACTAATGCTGCAATCTATGAGAGAATGCATCTCTTCATATTTCTTAAAGTTTTGTAGAAACTATTTTTGTATTTGTAAATAAATGCAATATCCGAACTTTTCAAATGATGACATGAAGAACAGAGCCATTTTATAAAATTTTCCAACACCCCACAGTAATTCAGGAAAAAATGACTTGCTGTAGAAGTCATCAATGCGTAAGTTGATTTGACCAGGAATTTGAGTGCTGCAGTAGCCCTAAATAGCAATGAGGTAAATAGGTGACCAATTTGCTTATCTTGGTTGAATGTAGATTTGGATTAAACTGAACAGAGTTTGAATATACCATCTCCTTGCGCTCGCTATCTGAACATTACACTGAGATTCAGACTTCAATTTGAAGATGATATTTACACTACAGTCAGGTATTGGCAGTCAGTTTGCTGGATAAACAAAGTGCTGGAGAAACTCAACAGGTCTGGCAACATCTGTGCAGAGAGAAACAGTTAACAATTTGAGTCTCGTGTATTGGACTCCATGCTAACTGTTTCTGCTGCCACAGATGCTGCCAAACCTACTGTGTCTTACCTACTGGATGCTGGAGACTTGAAATAAAAACAGTATTTTGGGTGGCATGATGGCACAATGGTTAGCACTGCTGCCTCACAGCACAAGGGACCCAGGTTCAACTCCAGCCTTGGGTGGCTATCTGTGTGGAATTTACATGCTCTCCCCATGTCTGCGTGGATTTCTGCCACATACTCCGGCTTCCCCCCAATAGTTCAAAGATGTACAGGCTAAGTGGTCTGACTGTGCTAAATTGTCCATAGTGTCCAGAGATGTGAATGCTAGTTGGGTTAGCCATGGGAAATGCAGGAGTATGGGGATAGAGTGGTTAGGGTGAGTCAGGGTGGGATGCTGTTTGGAGGATCAGCGCAGACTCGATGTGCTGAATGGCCTGTTTCTGTGACTCTATGATTTGTGCTTTTATATTATTACATATTGGGTCTGAGGTAAACGTATCACACGACACCTTTGCAGGGGAGTTACATTTTTAATCTCTTATTCAGCAATTTACAGTTTGTTTGTATAGTACATCTGCAACATCACAATGCTGCTGAATTATTTCCCATAATTTCTCTGCATGTGCGGGTCTTGAGGACAATGTGGTAGCAGATTACTCAGAGAAAAAGGATTAAGGTACAAAAACAAAAAAGCTCAACAGGTCTGGCAGCATCTTCTAAAGAAAGATCACTGGACTGAAACATTGACTCTGCTTTCTCTCCACAGATGCTGCTGGATCTGCTGAGTTTTTTACAGCAATCCTTGTTTTTATTTCTGATTTCCAGCATTCCCAGTTCTTTTTGTTTTTTATGAAAGGAGTTAAGTGGCTGATAAACCAAGACAGTGAAATACAGCACGGAAACAGACCCTTTGGGCCAACCAGTCCATGCCGACCCTAATCCCAAACTAAACTAGTCCCACCTGCCTGCCCCGGCCCATATCCCTCCAAATGTTTCCTATTCATGTAGCGATAGGAGTTGGAGGTAAAAATGCAAGTATTTCCACAACATTTGAATTTATTTAAAAGCAAATAACATTTTCAACAATCGCCCTTTGCAACATTAAATGACAAAAACTTGCATTTAAGGTACAAAGGCTGAGTTCAGTACAGCTGTAAAGATATTTACTTTATTAACTTTGTCCCTTTTCAAACTAACCTTTCTGGACTGAAGGGAAGATGCCACTGTTTTCAAGCACAAAGCTAAAATGGTGGGAGTTAATTTGGAAGATGTTTTTCTCTGATGGTTTATTTTTAATCCTATTCCTATTAATTAAGACATACTGACCCAGAATGTCACAGGTTCAGGCTGATTTAGTGCAAGTTTTGCGATCAGTCTTTGTACGTTTTAAGGAAAAATCTCCTGGAAAATTTGCAAATGCAAACATCAAGTGTCAATGGCATATTGTGTCCAAGGTATTCAGTTAACCGTGGCTCAGTGGCTAGCACTTGCCCCATCTGAAACAGAGGGTTATGTTCAAGTCCCACTCCAGAAACCTGAGGGCAAAACCTAGGGCTGTGACTTCAGTACAATGCTGGGATAGTGCTGCAACATGCAGTCTCTCAACTGAGTCATTAAACTAATCCCCATCTCTCTGGTAAACAGGCAAGATCACCTTGCACTCTTGAAGAGCATTAGGGCTGTTCTCCATGCCTTTTTGGCCAAATGTGTCCATTAATCAACATTTCACAAAGTGGAATATCTGGTCATTATCATGATTGTGGGAGTTTGTGCATAAACTTGCCTGGTTTCCTAAATACAACAAAATGTATCCCATTAGCTTGATCTTGTCAAAACTGCCATGTGAATGCAAGACTTTTAAGTCCATTTGAGCAGCTTTACACCATTCAGTAGTGAGGTTTGTACTTTGCATGGATAGTTGAACATGATACTGGAGAATTGTAGTCATGGAACCAGCAATGTATCAACATCCTTAGATAAATCAAGAGGAAAATATTCCTGTGATTTTTTTTTTTTGTGTATATATAATGAGCAATTTTCAGATTGTGTTACACATCACTTCTTTCTTTGTTCCTGTATTCGGCTCCCACGCTTCTTTGTATATATAAATACCTACTCCACTGATACTGATGAGAAGGCTGGTGAGAAGTGGGAGTGAAAAAGTCCATTCTTGTGTGGAAATGTTTCTTAGCATCAGTAGGTCTGTCTTTGCGACCTCAATAATGTTCATTGTCAAGGCTGAGCTCAGCAAGGTGCACAGAAAAACAAGAAAATTCAGCAAACACCCAAACAGCAGCACCAAGGAGAAGAAGCCCAAAAAGATCAGACTGGACCAGCTGCCCGATGAGAAGATCTGAGGAGTATCAGGATGGAGAAAGCAGTAAAGCAACAGCAGCGGACAGCTATTAATGCTACAAGTGTAGTAGACATC